GCAGTGGATGGATTGTACGACGTAAGTAGAGCCATTAGATTTGGAAACGTATTGTCACCAATCTGTAGAAACGAAGAAAAAATTGTTTAGTTAAGTCTTTTTGATACAAATTTGTCGGTAATGGAAACTATGAAAAGCTGGCGCAGAATATGTAAAAAGAAGACAAACATGTGGCGTTCGCTTTCTTGTAAAATATTTGGCCAAACTTATCCTCCAATTTGTAGTGCGCAACTTGATATTAGTACACAAAGAGATGGACCTATAGTTTTGAGCTGATAGCGAAGGAAAATATGTAGCTTTTATAAGAAGGTTTTTCAAGGCAAAAGGACACTCGCAGGTTTGCCGTTGCCTGTTGAGGGGCACAGTTGGAGTAATGCACCAAATTTTCAGTTTTCACCAGTGGCGAGTTTCAGAGTTTTTACCATATAAAATGTAGAGCATGGTTTTCACGTTGTGCAAAAGTTTTCACTAGTCAAACACATGTTTAGTGTTGAATCGCAAAACATCAGCCAACACTTAACAATAGTGAAGTTAAAATATTAGCACTAAAATTAACAGCCCATAATCTTTTACGGGACTCTGGTCTGGTGGCCAGCCCCTTACTAAAGATTACGTATTTAAAAAGCTAAGCTGTCTGTAAGGAAGTTTGAACGTCTTTCTTGATTTATTACGCATATATATATTTATCAAAAACTCAGCTGCTAACAATTCCATAAGACTGCGTGCCCTGGGGTTCTGGAAGGAAAACCCGTTCGGGCATGGTTCCATCCTAGACGCACCACCGTCTGAAATTAAAGCGCTACCCACTGATTTTGTGCTATCGAAGATCTAAGTTCACCACAAACCCCGCACGAAATTCCAAAGCCGCAGTGACTGGAATCAAGAGAAGGTCGAGTTCTTGAAGTGCTTAACTGTCTTTACGGATGGATCAAAGATGGAATGCGGAGTTGGTACAGGGGTTTTCATTGAGAAATATAATTAAAAATTATCCTTCCGCCTACCAGACTATGCAATCGTTTGCTATTAAGGAAACAGTAAGGTACATCAAGGGGAATATATCTGCGAGAACGCAGGTGAACATCCTCTCGGATAGCCAAGCGGCCATTCACGCGCTCTCATCTACCTCTGTAAGATATCAACTAGTAGATGAATGTAGTAGAGAGCTAGCCTATATTTCTGACCAACACGAAATTACCCTAATATGGGACATAGGGACGTTTACGAAAACGAGGCACCGGATGAACTAGCAACGAGCGGCTCCGCACTGGATGTGTCCCACGCGGTGAACATGGGCGCCTCTATCAGGGAGATTAAGACAAAAATGACCGAAATTTGTCACTCGAAGGCCAAGCAGAGGTGGAACTGCATAAGATATTATAGGATTACACGGCAGTTCTGGGTGTTCTACGGTCCAATCAAAACCAAAGCTCTTTTAGGAATGAACAAAAAAACGCCTACAAATTTACTGCAGTTTGCATAGGGCACTGGCCCGTTGGGGTGCATGCTGAAAGTTTGGAATTGTCCTTCAATAGGTTCTGACGCAGTTGCAATGACCCGGGCTCAAAAGAGACAGTCGAACACTTCCTGTGCGAGTGTCCAGCCCTCGCAAGGATGGGGCTAAATTCACTCGGTAAACGATTCCTGCAGAATATTTCTGAGTGGAACTGCCGCCAAATGGCTGTAGGTTGCACGAGCTGTGGAATCAAAATTGCAACTGGTTAATTGCTTGTCACCATGGTGACAATCCACTTAAACCAACCAACCAACCAAAGTTAACAAAAGAACATGAGTAGTGAAAAGCAAATTTCTTCTTCCTAACGCAATATTTTTCTTTACTAAAACTGCGCTGCAAAAAAAAAACATATCGCGCTTGTTTAAAAAAAACACATATAACTTGGCACCAATCGATATTTTGTATATGTATTAACTTTAAACATATTTTTGTTTGAGCAATTTTTTCACTTAAGTACGCTTTCATTCTGTACTTCATAGATGCTTTTTCATAATTAGGAAAAAAACAAACAGAAATCGAGAGCTACAAGTTGTGTCAGACGGCATTCGAATTAGGGACCTTCTGGAAGCTAACAAATAGCAGCATACATCTCTACGCAATCAGCTACAGCTACAGAATCAAATTTCTTACAATCGTGCAAAGTAATTTGACTTAAAATTTGTTTAAGAAGTACTTTTTCTATTCGAAAATTTCCAATCGCCAATATGGAAAAATCGAAAATACTCTAAGTATCACCGTGACGATCTTTGAGCTATTTTCTTTGATTAGTAGTCAGAGGTGTAACTATAGGACGGCATGGCTGGCAAAATGGCAAGGGCCCCCGATCCGAGAAGGCTCCGGCCCAAGAGACCTCGGGCTCAGAAATAACCTTATATTTTTAACAAAACTAAGTTATAATTTTATTAAGTACTTAAAATCAATTAAAGAGAGACAACTAAAGAACATATATGTACATATGTATTCTTCATGGTTATGGTCTCTAACCAGAAAACTACTGTTATACCTGTTTTTGTATCAATTGCGTTGAATCTATACAATTCACAAACAGTTATATTTCCGGATCTGATTTTTGAGTTGTGCCTCTTTTGAAGACGGTGTGCGATTTATTGATGGTAATATAGCAGAATCATGGATTTTCTAGCAGAATAATCACCCATAACTCGGTAATCGGAGCGCAAAATAACGGTTTTTAGAACCAAATGGGGATTATTTACGCGAAAACCCATCTAAAATCTTTGAAAATTTTAGAGATATTCCTGATGAGTACCAGGATATCATTTTAAAGGACATTTGAACAAAATTGAAGTGATCGATGACTCAATTGGTTCTCTTATCTTAGAATGATAAAGTGCAAGTTTGATTTTTAGAATTCGTTTTTGTTGAAGGTGTTGCTCATCTTGTTCTATACATAAATATATAATCGTCAAACACGCTTTGTATGGAAGAAAATGCGCAAAATCACCAACAAAAAGAAATCGAAAAAAAAATCAACGGTAACTCCAAGGTATCTCAAATTTGCGCTCTATTATGCAAAAATTGAATAGTCTAAAAACCTGCATTCCCAAAATCTAAAGGCTGATTTTCACTATGTCAAATTCAGTGGCACTTGTCGTCAAATAAGTGAAAATACATTGTCAAATGGGATCAAAAAGCGGTTTATCGATTGATTTGGATTAGGATTTTTTGCCCATAATATTCTGGGTAAAGGGGTATGGATAAAGCAGATAAAGTTGTGTTAAAAAATGTTGCCAAATTTTGGCGTCAAAATATGACATAGTGAAAACCAGTCTTAAGACGTCTAATAAAAAAACTTCAATTTTTACGAATGTTTGCTGAATTATGTATTGAGTATTGTACAAAGTTTAAAACTTGGATTTATATGGCTTTGTTGACAAATAAACTATATTTTTACGAAAGAATAACTTAAATTAAATTAAAAAAATGAATTGGTTAAACTTGTGGTGCGCTTATAATTTTGACACAGGGTGTACTTTTAAGAAAAATTTCTACTTTTGCGTATAAAGGCATGAAAAATATGCATGGGCATGGGATCACACCCATGATGAGGAGCTATCGATGCCACTGACTGCTCCCATATATAGCTGGGAGGCTCAGGCGTATGAGCAACTTTTTTCCTACGATGATCTTCCAAATAAACCATGGCGCTTAGTATAACTATACGGCGCCCACATGATGACAATGTGTACTCGCCCCTTTTCTTTTCACTGCCTCTCTTCCACATGCGAAGAGAATTGAATTAAATATTTTAATCGTGTAAAAGTCGTCTTACCTTATTAAAACCTTGCAATTCAAACCAACGATTGCTTTGCATGTATTTAAATGTCTCTGGCATGGTTCGCCGAAAATTTATTCGCGAAAGACTGTCAATACCCAAAAGCAAAACATTAGGCTTCCTTGACTCCAAATAGAAGGTATTGGCGGGTACATTGCTCGAGTTTGTTAGTGCAACTTTCTGTTGTTGTATGAACGAAAAGGCGTCCTTTTGTATTGGTTTTCCGGTATTGTTGCCTATGTAGCATTCCGTGATTATAAAGTCTATGTGCTGTGGTACCACAAAGTCTTGATGGATTATTGAGCAAGGAAGTATGCTAAAAATATAAGAAGAAAGCACGGCTCAGTTTTCGTTGGTCGTGAAAAATTTATAGATAATCAAAGTTTATGACCATGCGGTTACATCGCGATGAATGCTGATGCTGATTTTGTTATCTTGCGAAAAGTATAAAATGCTAAGCTGCTACTAAACTTAAAAAAAAACACCGAAAAATAAACGCCTTCATGGAAAACATATACATACATGTGTAAGTTTGTGTATACTATACTTAAGAAAATACTGGATGACATTAACCAAATTTAGAATACAATCTTGCCCCTAAATTTCAAATGGCAACATTCCACCATCTTGGATTTTAGGTTGTTTTGCGATTTGCAAGCTTATTTTGCATTTTTCGTAAAAAACGGTTGTACACAAAATTTGCAGAGAATTTAATTTTCCATATTTTTTATATAGAAGGTTATCTGAAAACACATTGCTATTGTAAATAATTAGCAAAAAGTGCGAAAAATGTGTACATTGCCACGGTTTTCGCCATTTTTCAACAGCTCTCATCACATCCTCAGCCTTTGCATAAACAGGCGGGGAAGTCCTGTGAAATGCCACCTACCATTGCAACTGCGACTTCGCTCTACGGAATGGGGTACATTCTGAACTGCTAATTTCGAGTCGTTCAATGCTGGCACAGCGGGTCATCAGAATACAGGCAGAAGGATTTCAATATGTCACGTGCGGAGTTAGCAAGAGCTGCCCTCAGGGTGGTGTGCTTTCCCCTTTGCTCTGGTGCCTGGTAATTGATTCTCTTCTTGTCACTCTTAATGACTCTGATATCTATGCTCAAGCCTATGGAGAAGATGTGGCCTGTATAGTCACGGCCCCATCTTTGCCGGCTGCTTCTAAGATAGCGCAGACAATATGATTGAAACTAGGTGTTATGGAAATGGGCTCGCCGCTAACCTAACCAAAACTAGTGTTGTACTCTTCACTAGAAGGAGAAGGTTGGATGGTCACAATTCAATCTTAGAGTAATTCTGAATACAAAACTATCGTGGAAATGTCAAGTGGAACACAAGACCTTCAAAGCATTGCAATGCATTGGCAGCATTTTGTCAATGTAGACAGGTCTTTGGCAAATGTGGGGTCTATCACCAAAGGGAATCCTCTGGATTTATACCTCTATGATCAGACCTATAATCAGCTATGTGTCACTGGTATTGTGGAGCATAGCGTGGGAAGTCTAAACTGCTAAACTTCAAATAACTATTGCCGTATACTGAACTCCCTGAGCCTGAATGTTTGTTTAATACCTGCACTGAGCTCGGACTCACACATTGTCGAATCTTCACTAATGGCTCCAAACCTGACTCTGGGTCAGGATTTGGGGACTTCATCGAAGTTAATGGGTATACGTTTTACTTTTCTCTGGGGGAGTATGCTTCGGTCTTTCAAGCTGAGGTATTTGCAATCCTCAAGGCCATGGACTACGTGGTGGAAAATAGGTGGAGGGGAAGGATTTACGAGTCTGCAGTGACAGCCAAGCTGCACTTAAAGCATTGGCCAGGCCAGCCCTCTAACTACTTCCAAACTAGTTCGGTACTGCAGGTCGCGACTAAATTTTCTTGGCAAACGTAATGGGCTTGCTTTAGTATGTTGCCTTCAATCTCACTGAGCAGACGAGATTGTAGACAACTTGTTGGACTGCTGACTGGTCACTTCACGTGGCACAATCACCTGACTGTGATAGGCGTACAAGAAAACTCCATTTGCCCATCGGCCCAGCGATTTGTTGAGAGACGAACGCCTGAGCTCGTTGACACCCAACTATCTGCTTAGGTTTATTCGAAAATCGTGCAGATTTAAAACAGAATAAAAGGGATATGAAAACAGTACAATGGACGGTATGTAGTTTGAGTTACAAAAAACATATGTACATTAAGGAGGTAATGAAAGAAAATTTTTCCTCTTATCGAAAGTGGTTTCACGAAAAGATGTATGTATGTGAAAAACAAATTTCCATCAGTTTCCATATTAAAATCAAATAAAAAAATCATTTGAATTGCTTCCGTGAAACTGGCTATTAGAGAATGCTTATGAAATGTTTATATTTTACTCTAAAAGTGTTTTGTACATATCGTCGCTACCATGCCAAATGTCGTGTACGTGCGACGGTTACGCGTGACGTGTATTGCTTCTCTCTTTATCTATCAATAGTAAATTTTATATGTTGCTACGTCCGTCAACGTACGTTTACGCTACGCCGTTGACTGCTAGCCCCTTTACGTATGTATGACATTGTAGCGACAATAAGGTGCAAACCCGTATTCCTCGGACTCGGACTAGTAAAACTGTCAAAAAAATAAAAATTCGCTCAGAGCGAGAGAGTAACATTGAAAAGTACGGGATCGCTTTCTAGTAAAAAATTGTAACTTCTGTCAACTTCAACATAACCTCCAAATTTTGGTTGTAAATTTTTGCTTATTTTGTATGTAAACACACTCAGCTAACACATGTAAATAAACTAAAATACTTTCAAATTAATTAGAATCCACTTAAACAAGTAATTAAATACTTTTCAACATGAATTAGCAGAGTGCACTTTTCTTTTGTTTACAATTTGGTTGCCAAACATACTACAGCTGATCGTTTGACACATTTACCAGAATTTACCAGCAAAAAATTCTCGGACTAAAACTGGTATTTTCTGACAGAGAGAGAACCGTATTCACTCTCTTTTTTGTCCTCTCAATAGTCTGAGAACCGAGTACGGGATCGATTTTTAGTAAAATCTGACTGATTCTGACTATTACTGACTAGTCCGGACTCGTATTGGATCGCAACTATATATTAACCAAACAATTGGAGAAGCAACCTAAGAATATTTCAAATTAAAATAAGCTGAAAAATGTTGCAAGCTTCAGTTGTCATGGCAGCAAAAGCTTTTTATAAAAATAACCAATATGTTTGGCAGTTTCAATGGGATTCAGTGGCATTGAGCACCAGGTATTGATTAGAGTAAAAAAATTAAAAGTTGGTAGAAAATCAGGGCGTGTCCCGTTTTCTACATTACACAACATTTACGCAAACCCTACATTACTTACTCGTATTTATCGTCATTATCCCTAAAACGCACAATTTGTCGATAACAGCAGCGGATATCCGAAGCGCTGGCATTTAGATGTTTTGCTGCACGTTCGATAGCCGGCATATTCATATGAAGAAAGTATTGACGTATATTCAGCTGATAGTTGGACGTAATGAGTGCTTCGTCGTTGGTGCAGTTTGTGTACTTGAATTTTTTCGGGTTGAAGATCTTTTTCACTCCCTCTTCGAAGGGATCTACATATGGCACACGACATTGAGAAGTGTTGATAAAATATTTTTTTTCCGGCGCTTGCTTAACCATTGTTTCCACATAATGCGCATTCGTCGTTGAGTTAGTATGGTTTAATCGCAATGTTGATAGATGTTGTGTGACTATAGAAGAAAAATGAGCATAACATATGTATGTAGTATGTCGTTATTCAAGGTTTTTTATGTACATGTACATATGTATATCGCTAGCTTAGAGTAAAAATTTGCTAAGTCCACTATTTTGATATTAGAAGCAAGAGAAATTAAAAATGCATAGTCTCCAAAAGGATTAAGGTACTTGTTCTATTCCTTTTCGTTTATATATTCGATTAATGGCAAGTCCAAAAGTGGTACAGAAATTCGAAAAAGTAAAAGTAATTCGAAATTTTTTAATCAACATCAAATCCTTCTAATTCGTATGGAGTTTGGAATTGCGTTAAACACTAAAACTGTTGCATTCATAGTTTTGGAAAACACTTGAAGAAATCCTTACTAATTCTTGTTTTCGTACGGATCGAAAATCATGAAACTTTGCTATCATTTTCTGTACAAAAATTTCAAATTTTCGATTCGTACGAAAACAAGAATACGCCTCATTATATGCATTTAAATTCGAAAGTGAGTTTGTTTGTTACGCTTTCATGCTTTAGCTACTCTTCCGATCATCATGAAATTTTGCCCACTGGTGCCATTTAGTTACGGTGACCATAAATATGAATTGGAAATGCAGAACAACTTTTCAAAAAATATACCTACATATCGTCATCTGAAATGAAACAAAACGTAACAACATCGTAAATGAAATGGAAAAAGTCGTGACTAATATTTTAATTTTTTTTTCATAAAATGATGTAATTCGAGAAATTCATCATATCAATGAAAAAGTGAGTTTTGAATTTTTTATTAGTTATGACTTTTAGCATTTCAACGATGATGTTTGTTACGCTTTTGCATTTCAGTTGACGATAAAAGTATAGAAATTGGATTAATAATTTAAAATTTTTTTTATTTTTTCTTTGTTATTTGTATACTACGTATGTAAATACATACATATGTATGTATGTAAGCTTTGAATATAAATCACATTTGCTTCATGGGTATTAATCTTTTTTTAATGAATATTTGTAAAATTATAATATGTACAACATAATTACAATTACACTAGTTTACACGAGAAATGAACCTCTGTAAAACGTTATTTTCGAGGCAAACTTTGGTTCGTTGAACACGAAAAAAATACCCATTTCTTCAAAGAAGAGTTTTCGAGATATTCAGAAAAAACGTTATTCGTCAATATCTCTTTAATCGACTTAAATGACTTACAGATCGAAAAGTATTGATGTTCCCTTTACCAAAATACATATATAATTTGTGCAGAATGTGCCATAACGTCTACATTTCTCATCCGATTTTCATTATCTTAGGCTCGAAATTTACTGTAATGATTTCACTTTTGTATGGAATTTTAAAAATTATGTAAAATAGAATCAACTAAAAGTGTGAAATTTTCACAAATTATCGCAAAATTTCACTTCACACATTTCACATTTTCGACTTTGGTCATTCGTAACACTTTTCATTGAAATCGGCACAGGCTAAATGTTTTTCTAAGAGGCACATCGATACCTTTCGAACTGTTGGGCCATTACGTTGATTAATATTGAAAAATATAAAAAGAAACTCGTTTTGCGAAAAAACTCGAAAACGCTTCTTTGAAAAGATAGTTGCGTATTGTTAACGTTTTAAGCGAACCAAAATTTGCTTGGAAAACGTTTCTTTCTTAGATTCAAGCGATAAAGCAAAATTTTTAAAGCAGTGTTACTGGGATTTTTGAAGCTGGTGTTCATTTTGTAGTCACCCATTGTCTATGGCCGTACAAAATTTAGAACGCATTGACTTGTTGAAGCTTCAAAATCAGCCTCATCTTCATGTAATTATCAATCAGTTATCGACATTGCTTATATGTTGATAAGTAAAGGACTCCAGCTTTTTGTTTTAAAATATCGAATAAAATGCCGGACAATGGCAGGACTCCTGGAAAAAATCAGTACATTTTGAGGTTTTTCTGTTTCGAAAAACCACGCAGGACAGACCTTTGAATAACAGTATGGTCCTGCAAAAAAACAGAACGGATGGTCACCGTACATTTAGTTCAACTAAAAACGTAGGATAGTTCTTATTTCGATTAGACAAGAGGACGTGGCATCTCCCATGCAAAGGGGTTTTTTCATACTGCATATCTCAGAAAGTATGTATGCACATACTTATTTGTAGTAGAGCACTGTATCAATTCCATACTCAGGGAGAAGGGTTGCCAAAAAACCAAATTCGATTTGAATTAAGAGAATAATTTATTTGAGAATTGTATGTATTATAATATGGGTGTAAAATAACGGAGACTTAAAAAGTTGTAGTTTGAAAATATATTTAAATGGGTTGGACCCTGTTTGCAATGTCAAATTTCAATTAATAATTCGCAATTGGATATGAAAAATTAAAATATGGATGTCGAACGAAAGGATATAAAGAAACATTTAGTTTGAGAATTTAAAATATTATTCAGGTGTTTAACAAGGGTTACTACCTGTTTAGAAATCAAATTAATTATTGCAAATTATCGCAAATTATCAGGTTTTGGCAGCCGCGTACGCTAAAAACTTGCAAAGTAGGGCAAATTGAGAGAGAGTTGTTTGTTCCTGCTGGAAAAATTTTTGCTAGCAGCAATTTGCAAACAAGAAAAAGTAATCTGTTTGCAAATTATGAAATTAGTGAAATTTATTTTGATGATTTTTAATTTTAAAATAACTTATTAGAACTGGAAATGTTTCGGAAGAAAGCAAAAATATGTATTTCAAAATTTCAATTTTGTATTAGTGTTGTCAGATTTTTTTTCCAGCCATACAGGACAAACGCATAATTTGTCCAAAAAATACGGGTTTTACAAAAATTTAACGGTACAAATGAGAAATAAAAGATTTGCTTTCAAAGCCCATATATTAACAAAAGTGATCCATTTCAACGAAGTAATGTTCGGATTAGTTATAACTTATAAGATTATGATAAATTACACCAGACTAAAGTAATAAATAACCAGCAAATTCGATAAGCGTGATAAACTTAAAAAAAAAAAAAAAATCATACAAATTTATCATTTTTTTTTACGTTTATCGGCAGTTTGTCACCTAAGATGAATACTCAAATTGTTCATCTTTGTTTTTATTATTTTATCACATTATTAAAATTCGAATCACAGGGATCCGGTAACATTGTCCTAGTAATGATTTTCACTTATTCCCTATTTTTTTTTACTTCAAAAATAAGTTCGGTCTGATGGCCCTGATATCTTGTACCATTTGTGTATAAAATATCTTAATTTTTAAAAGTATTCGTATTACGTTAAAGTGTACAGAGACTCATGTGCAAGTCCCGTTTGACCGATAAATAATTTCAATAATAACAATTAGGGAGTTCACAAGTCGTGCTATTTGTCATATTTGCTCTTTTGTACTATTTTTTTAGAACAGTTGTAAAATGAAACCTGTGAGCATCCCATACTTCTTCGTGTGCTATTGTACAATATTTTAACAATTATATTTGACAAAATCAAAATTATTAAAACAGCTTTAGAAAGTTTATAATGCCCAGAAGAGGCGAGAAAAGCAAATTAATGGCTGCGATTTGCGAGAAGTACGCGCAGGACGCAATGATGGAAGGAAGTGAGTCGTCAAATAAGTCATTTATGAGTTTTTTAAATTTATTTGGTGCATTTTTGTTAGGCGATGAAGATGAGGAGGAAGAGATCGATGAAACTTTTAGGTTGAATATGCTTGTGTTGTTGGCAAATCGCCGAAGTGTCCATCTAGGAGTTCCGAAATCAAACAATTGGGATCTGAATGTGTTACAACCTCAAATAGGCGGTTTTCTAAAGGAAAATCAATTAGGGACTTCTCTTCCGACACTGTCCACATATGGTTTGGTTTTCCCCGGACACGCTGAGTTTTGCACTGAATTAAAAAAGATCTTTAATAAGTTAAATATGTTATAAATTAAAGATAACTTACTCCATTGCCATGAGATGACTCCATTTTTTTATTTAAAATTTGAATATTTTATTGTACTCAGACAAGGAAAAATGTAAATAAATAGAAATGTCTGATCCAATAGCACTCACAAATAGCAAAGTAAACATATTTTTCAAAGTTATATTGTAATACAACAATTTTACTTGTAAAGCAAAAACAACACTTTTAAAACTGATCTAAAAAAATAGTATAAAAGAGCAAATATGACAAATAGCACGACTTGTGAACTCCCTAAATATTTTAGAATAATCATACACATCATAGTAAGTTTTCGAGTTTTCATAATTGAGCTAAGAAAGTCAAAACAGGCTTTCTACAAAAACATTGAACCTAGTCATAAACAACCTTTTTGTGAATAGTTGAGGGAGCTATGTTTGCTATACAGGGGTCACTTTCCCTATGAATTTCACCAACCGAGTAATGTATGCTAGCAAAATCACTATCTTTTACAAATGTCAGTTATATTAATATAACCATATATAATATTACCATGGCTTCAATTGTAGTCCGAATTTTGTAATTACTTTTTACTAATACAAAAAGATTGGGTATGCAAAATAATCTATATACATAATTTCCTATTTTAATGTTATACTCAGCTCTTCCTACAAGTTGACTATACATACTAAGTTTGCTTTTAGGTGGATATCGTACATCATTTTTGTCGCACTAAAATTTTTATTGCCTGTTTTTAATATATTACCCATATGCTCAGACAAACAGTAGTCGTTTCCCCTTTTACATTACATCTCTACAGTATGTACTATTAAACGTGCGATATGTCGAACTTGAATGTGTTTGAAGAAATCTAGCTCAGTCCATGGTCTATGAAAGTACGTAGTTTCCCAGATAACAGAAAAGGTTATATAATGGTTTACTTGCGCACAACTGAAGAGCATAAAATGTCTGTAAAATATGTATGGCCTTAATCATAAAAAACCAAATAAAATTAAAGAGCTCTATAAAGTGACACTTTCATATACATTTTCGATTTTTAAAGCAGTTAAATTCTTGCTGTATTGTTTTTTTTGCAAAT